CTCAGGCTGCACGTGTGGGGCAGTGGGGGATGGTGCCGCAGGCTTGGTCACAGCTATGAGTGGCCTGGGGGCTACTCTGGATGCTGGAGCCTGAGGGCTCCCGGTACCCGCTCCACAACCACACCGGCTGCCCCTTCTCGTATCAGTGCTCCTGTCTCTCTGTGTTTCCAGGTCCCTAGAGCCCAGCCCTGCCTGGCCACCAGGCTTTGCCCTCTGCCCGGATGCGTCCTCTCTCTCTCTCCGCCCTGCTCTCTGCTGGTTCAGCTCTGCTGGCTGACATCATGCAGCAGATGGACTCGTTGGGTGAGGGTATGGAGGCCCTACTCTGTGCCTGAGGGGTGCGGGCTTGAGGAGAGTGGACCACATCCTGGCCCTGGAGGAGGCCACAGGCAGTGACCTTGCAAACACAGACTCGTGCCTGGCTTGGGGTTGGCACAGCCATGCGGGGAAAACTTAGGTGTGCACAAGGGTTTCAGATCGAGGCTCATACCTGACCCTGAGGCTTGAAGAGGAGGTGCCAGCCATGAGTGGTATAGGGAGGAGAGCATCCAAGGTGGGATTCTCTGCCCTCCTTGTGAGGCTGCCTGGAGGACTCTCAGCCGTGACACTTGGTGTAGCACCTGGCGTGATGGCCTCTGCTGCTGTTGCAGTTCCTGGCCTTGTGTGTTTGACACTCGAGGCTGTTGTCTGTTAGGGTTTTGTGTCTCTGCTGTCTTGTTCTGTGCCTCACCCTCAGTTCCCAGGGCAGTGCCTGCAGTGGGAGCGCAGTGGGTGTTTGTTGACTGAGTGAGCTACTGTGATAGCAGACCCCAGGCGGTGGGGCAGACTGAGCACTGATGGTGCCAGCGAACTCTGGGAGTTTGTGCTGATGTGAGGATATCAGCCATCCATCCACTTCTGGACCCCTCATTAGGGCAGTCCTCAGACACTAAGCCTCTTGGACCCTCAGTTTCCTCCTCTGTAAAATGGCACCGAGGACAGATCTGACGCTCAGGCCCTGTCCCCCAGGCTTTGGCATGAGAAAGTAGTTCACAGCTGAGGCTACAGGGATGCTGGTTGGTGGCACCACCTGATTTTCCTAAGCCTGCCAAGGCTCAGGGAGATCTGGAAGTGTTTGGGGTTGAACAGGGAACCAGGCCTCTCCCTACCCCTAGCTGTGGGTCGAGGGCTTAGGAGACCCCGTCCTGCGGAACTCTCTCTGCCTTGGTACCTACCTTGGCCCTGGTTCCCAGTACCCTCAGCCTTTGTGCCTGTGTCTTGCTGGGCCCCTGGAGGGGACACCCAGGCTGGGCCTGGCATGCAGTAGGTCGGTTAGACATCTGGGCCAGCCTGGCTTTGTTGCTGGCCCTAGTGTGTGGCCATGGCCGCAGGTTTCTGTCTGAGCTGAGTGTGCGCTGTGTACCAAGCTGGGTGATATGGAACACTGTGTGGGTCTCGGGTTTGAGCAGGGGCAGGCAGGCTACCAGGGGCCTGGATGGGGTGTTTCCCACTTTACCCCATTGTCTTTGAGGAAGATAGAGACCACAGCCTCTTTACCAATGGGGAGACTGAGGCCCAAAGGAGGCCAAGGTGTGGGGGAAAATCAGATGCTTGCTTGCTTTCTCTCTCTCTCTCTCTCTCTCTCTCTCTCGCTCGCTCGCTCTCTCTCTCTCTATCTTTCTTTCAGGTGGTGGGGATGGAACCCAGGGCCTTGCATTTGCCAAGCAAGTGCTCACTACTGAGCTACACCCTCAGGCCAGCCAGGTGCTTTGGTGCAGTGGCCATCAGCCAAGCGTGAGTGCAGCCTGGGGCGTGCCATCCCCTTAAACTTCTGCACCCCCGTGGGGCAGCAGCTTTACTGCCCCCATGTTGCAGATGCAGAAACAGGGCTAGGCTTTCTTCTGACTTTCTTGGGGGCTTAACTTCCCCCCACCCCGAAAGGGGAGTATACTAGGGATTGAACCCAGGGCCTTCACACTGAGCTACCTTCCCATCCCTTTTGTCATTTTAAAAATTTGAGACAGGGTCTTTCTAAGTTGGTCCGGGCTGGTCTTGAACTTACAGTCCTCTTGCCTCAGCCTCTGAGAAGACTACAGCCATACACCACCACACCTAGCTTTGGAGCCTCACTTGATACAGAAGAGTGCACACATCTGGAACACACACCTGTAGACGCCCACATAACCTCCACCCAGCCCCAGGAGGCTCCCTTGTGTCTGTTTTTTTTTTAATTGAGACAATGTCTCGCTGTGCAGTTCAGGTGGCCTTGAACTTACTACGTAGTCCAGGCTGGCCTCAAACTCATGGTGATCCTCCTGTCTCAGTCTGTGGAGTGCTGGGATCACAGATGAGTGCCACTGTGCCTGGCCCTCCCTTTGTCTTATCACCTGCCTCCCCTGTCACCCACCTGTTGAGGGTGGCATCTCACAGTGGAGGGAGGGTCTTTGGGTTTGCACAGCGTCCTTTTCGTGTTAGCTTGGTATTTGTGCTGTTGCTGGATCAGAAGGTTGCAGAACTGGGACTTGAGCCCTCTTAATCTTCTCCCCATGACATCCAGAGTCAGCGCTGCTGCTTACAGCTGTGGTCCAGAGGATCCTTCGCTCTTGGCACGAAAACCCAAGCCATCCACTTCCCTGGCTGGCAACAGATCCCACAGCCGTCGTCTTTCATCACCAGGGCCCCAAACTCCTTCCTACCTCTGGGCATCTGCACATGCGGTGCCTCCTGTCTGCCCTCCGCCTCTCCTTGCCTGGCCCACACCCTCAGAGGAGCCCTGCTGGAGTGTCACCTCCTCCAGTAGCCCGCCTGGACCACCCCAGACCAGGCGCAGCCTTCCTGGTAGAGGTTATCGGGCTGGCTCAGGCTCTGTGTGTTGCCCATGTCATTTGTAATGAAGCCTCAGACAGGCGTTTGCTCTCTCATGAGACAGACCACAGGAGGCAGGGCTGGTGTCTGCTGCGTGTGAGGCTCTATCCCCAGCGCCAGGCCTGGCTTTATTCACTCGTGTTTGTAGGCGTCTGTTCATTCAGCAAGTCCCAGTGCCTGACACAGAGCAGCCTCCTGGCTGGGATTTGTCAAATGAGCGGGTAGATGGATGGATGAACGGAAGAACGAATGAAGGGCTTTTGTCTCTAAAGTCTGTTCTTTTCACTGCATTACCTCTTCTCTGGGGCCGGGGATTTAGCTCAGTGGTCCTGCTGCCTGCCTCACAAGCATAAGGTCCTGAGTTTGATCCCCAGTACAAAAAAAAAAAATGGAGAAAACCCCCAAAACCTCTGGTACTTCTCTTTGGGCCTCAGCTTCCCCTGTGTCAGGTGAAGGAGCCTGATCTGCTGCTCCCAACCCAGTTCTGTTCTGAGCATGTAGAGCAGCAGCTTGGGGGCCGCCCAGCTGGACAAAGGAGGTGACCACAGGCTACAGGACAGGTTCTACCTCTGGACATCAGGGCCTACATTGGCCCTAATACTTGGCAGACTACTTTCTCCATTTTTGCCACCAGGGCTCCCTGAAGTCCCTGTTGGGATTGCTGAGCTCCTGTCCCAGAGCTGTCAAGAGAGGTGCCAAGGCCACCTGGCTGGCCCCCTGGAGATCAGGCTGTGGCTCCAGAGGCAGTGGGAGAGCTCAGTGCAGGGCAGGCTGTTCCTCTCCAGCCTCCACAAATCACTTTCCCTTGTGAGCTCAGTCCCGGCCAAGAAACTGAGTGGTTGTGAGGACTACCCAGCACTGACCCAGCTTCTGGGTCCGAGGGTCCTAGGGGGTGTGCCGAGGCCTGGCCTGGACCACAGCCGCCCCACGCTGTGCAGCGGTGGTGGCTCCACAGCCCAGCGGCTCGTCAGGCAGGCAGGCAGGCAGGCAGGCAGGCGGT